ACCAGAAAAATGACAAAGATTTGGAGCGTACAAGTAAACTTATTTATGGTTTTTATTAAATTGATATATGAATTTTATCGAGTCTAGATATTAAATTTCTATAAACTTGTGTTTCATTTGGACATTTATTTTTATTTTTATTTATTTAATTTTTGTTTTTGCAGCTAATCATTTGTTCACTCATACAAAAAAGGATTGGGGTTGGTCTAAGTTTCACCCCTTGATTGACATTAAAGATCCTTTCAAGGGCTTCGTATTGAAAGATACTCTAATTGTCCAAGTTGAAATCACCCGTATCTCAACTGCGAAAGATTTCTCCTCAAAATGAAAGGGCTGATCAAACCACGTCTCCGGCATAGTTATATGTTCTTTCTTAATGGTTTGTCATTATGCACTCAATCACAAGTCAATGCTGATATGTTCTTCTCAACATGGAATATGTACATTGTTGTTCCAACTTTGTTGTTTTACTCCATGGTAGTATTTTCCAGAAATGTTTACTTGCTTCTGTTTTTTCTTTTTTTTTTTTTACTCGTTTCTGTTTTGATTATCAAATCTTTGTAATTTCCATATTTCAATTTTTTCCAAAGAATGGGTGCCGAGAATAATGTAAAGAGATAAGTATTTTTTTCCCCTTTGATTTTGGAGCCATAATAACTACTCTTGTTGAAAGATGTTACCTAGACAAATTAATTTATGGGTTATTATCACCTTTTCCCCTCAATGTTTGGTGCTACTATCAAATTCCCTATTAACGTTACTTTTTAGTCACTTTTTCCGGAAGACTAACAGTCAAAGTTAGCCGAGTTTGTTAATTCAAGTGAAAAAACATGTTTAGTGCTTAAAATTATGATCACTTTAGCCCATAAATTATAGCTTTATTATCAATTTATTGCTATAGTTATTTTTAAAAAAATTTATCTCACCACTAAACCAACTTAGCAAGTCAAAAAACCTTAAAAGAGAGTACCATCCTCTTTGAATAATAAAAATAATAAAAAATTTAAAATGACTCTTCTCTTTTGTGGTATCAAGGAAAAAGTCAGAACATTAGTCTCTTTCTTCTTGGCAACCCTATTAATATTTTTTTTAAAAAATGTAGGGAAGGAGAGAGAGGGAGGGAGAGAGAGAGAAAGCTCAATTATTTTTTTAAAAAATACAAATAAGAAAGAATTCAATATTTTTACCATTTTAAAATTACTTTACTTTTCTTTTTACCACCCAATTTCAATCTTAATTTAGACGATATTAAAGTAATATGATACTATTATATTCTTTCTTGTTTTCTTTCTTGCAAAATCTAATTTTTTGCCACCTTCTTTTCTATCTCTTTTTCTTTTCCTATTATTAATAAGTGTGAAAAAAGAAACTTGAGAAAATCCTTTTATTTTTATGTTTTTTGAACTCTTAGAGTGAAAAAAGGAAGAATAATCGTTTCAACTTTTTTATTTTTAATTATATATAAAAAAGGATAAATATATTAAAATTTTTTTTGAACATACTAGTTAGGTTAACAATGGGCTAAAATGCCTAGAAAATAATGTTAGAGAGTAAAGTAATTGTATTACTATAATTTAAAGGGACAAAGTGATAATAACAATATGGTAATGTTATAAAATAAACAGGTATTTTTGTCCAAAATTTGTTAACATGCTGCGTTGAATTACCTACGGGAGTGAAGTGATTTAAAGATAACCTTAGGAAATAAATTGATAATAGTGATATAATTTATGGGGATAAAGTGATAACAACCCTTAATTTATTTAAGACATTAACACAAGTCTCAATTAATTATATAAGCCCATTTGGATTACTATTTTAAAAATTTTTGTAGAAAATATATTTTAACGAATTGATGTATATGAAAAAAATAATAATTAAAAAATATATTCACCAAAAATGCGGAAAACTACAATCCAAACAAAGCAGGTCAACGCTAATTGCCGTAACTTATTATAGGTCTTCGTGTACTTCAAAATTTCCACAAGCCGACGCTAATTTTTCTGCGGAAAATCTACAATCCAAAAAAAGCAAGTCAACGCTAATTGCCGCAACCTTTTATGGATCTTCGTGTACTTTCAAATAATATTTCCGCAATTCAATGCTAATTGCTATAACTTTGTTTCTCAATTTCTTTTGTCCCTGTGTCTTGTTTTCTTTGACTTTTTCCAATGTGTGTTTCCTTTTCTTTTCCAAAACATATACGCAGTGTTTTGAAAACCAGACCGGACCGGCCGATTCGACCGGTTGAACCGGCCATGACTCCGGTCTGGTTCACTGTCAGGTTTGACTTTGTCAAGAAACCGGTCAAAAACCGGTCGGGCCGCGAAACCGCTGAACCGGATTTGAACCGGTTATTTCCGGTTTTTGAGTTTTCCTTTTTTCTTTCTTTCTTTTTTCTTTTTTTTTTGTTTTTGTAAAATGTAGTTATCAAGATTCGAACTCAAGACCTTTGAAATAGAAGACCAATGTAGTAACCATTGCACTATCACATCTTATTAGTTTTTTTTGATAACTTATTTATATAAAACAAACACTCATATTTCTTTTGTTCCATTTTTTTTACAAAATATTATCCTTTCATGACTCTTTCTTTTTAATCTTCAACACACACACACACACACACACACACTCTCTCTCTCTCTCTATCATCTTTTCTTTTGCCACTCATTTTTTAATCAAATCTCTTTATTTTTAATTTATTGATGTTTTCTTCCATATTTTAATTTTGTTTTTGTCCATTAAATTTTAAAAAGTTAAAAAAGAATTATTTTTCTTTAACCCAATTTATTTAATACCACAACCACTCACTTTTATCTCATTTTTTGTTTCTTATCAAATTTGCATTTCTATTTTCAATTCTCTTGATTTTCTTCGAACTCCAAACTTCCTTTTTTAAATTATAAATTTAAATTCCAAAATGTAAATTAAAATTTAAATTCACAATGTCTAAATTTTCATAGACGTGAATTTTGTATAATTTCAAATATTGTGATATTTTTGGATTATATTTAAGATTTTTTTGGTAGATATAATTGAAATTGAGATGAAATTTATTTGTTTTAACTTATAATTTAAAAAATTTATTTTTAAAAATCCAAGTTATTCAAAAATAGTAAACTTTTCATCATATAAAGTATTAAATTATCCATTACATGTCTTATTTTGTGCACATATATATTTATATAAATTATTTTTAAAAAAATTCATTGAACCGAGGTTGAACCGGTCCGACCGGTTGAACCTCGACCCTTTCACTTCACCGGTTCGACTAACGGTCCGATTTTTAAAACATTGCATATACGTCGAATTCTTTGGTAAAGACACTGAATAAGCTTATTGGAAATCATATTCTGCTCCGTTGGTAAATTTAATTCAAAAAAATACATTCTCGATTTTATTACTGTACCTCGGTGTATCTTCAACCCATCTCAAAGCCTCAAACCACCTCTATTACAGTACAGATATCAGATATGTTGATGTTAGGTAATTCTTTTGTCATTTTTTTTTCTTTTGCCAATAAAACATTCTCGTGCTAAATCATTTTATCTTTATTGTTATCATGTCATTTTTGTTACCACTTCGAATTAGAGCTGCAAACGAACCGAACTGCTCGTGAGCCGCTCGAGCCAAGTTCGATCAATATCGAGTTCGAGTCGAGTTCGAGCAAGTATATATATATATATATATATATATATATATATATATATATATAATTTTTTTTTAATTTTAATAGTAAAATTACATATATATATCCTTAATATTTTATTATTTATTAAGAAAAAAATATTATTTTATTTATTTTTTTAAAAATAAAATAATTATTTTTTATTTTTTTCAAGTTCGAGTTTGAGCTTGAAATTGTAAGCTCGTCGAGCTCGAGCTCGAGTTCGAGTTTAATGAAATTATGTCGAAATTCGACTCGATTAGACCAAAACTCGACTCGACTTGACTTGTTTGCAGCCCTACTTCAAATCAAGCTCATGAACATGTAACTTGGTCGCAAGACAATATTTCTGTAGGGGAAACATAACATAGAACCTACACTCATGTTTCTAACCATCATTTTCAAAGTACTCGTTTAGATCTAATCCCGTGTGCCCCTTCAATCAAAACTTGTGTTAGGCCTCCTTGGCCTTGGAGATAAGAGTTTGTATTTTTTTTTAGGTGGTTAAAAGTTTATGTAATTTCGATTCCGATCATTATCATCAATGCACCATTACATTGGAGGCTAAATTTGAACACATAATTTTTGTTGAGCAAATGATCTGACCTTACTAATTGATTCAATTTATATTCACGATACGAGTTTGTATGTATGTTGTGCATAAGTGCCTTCCAACCTTTTTCTAACGATCAATATCAAATCTTAGAGTGCATGAATACTCACAAGCATATGCATAGTTAAATTAGACAAGGGATCTTTACTTAATTGGCGAAAGGGAAAAAAAAAATACGGCTTCTTCCGTCACAAAAACCACCATAAATAGATAACGGATAATATTACAAAAAATGATACATTTACGATGTACAACTAATTCACTAAAGATATCAAATGTCAAAACAATAATTAATCATGTAAAAGTACCCCAAAAAAAAAATCTAGTGAGTCAACTTTAATGTCCTACATTTAAATGCAAAATATTTCGGTACACAAAAGATTAGGGTTGTCCAATAATTTATTCTTAAGATTCAATTGAAGACTATTGAACTCATTTTATATATCCATCCAACCTAAGGATCCGTATCATTCCATCGGTAGGTGCAGATACATTTCAACTTATATATATATATATATATATATATATATATATATATATATATATATATATATATATATATTATATGAGTTGAATTTGGGATCTTACTTAGAAATTGCCGGCATGGACCTCAACACGCCATCCCTGAGTGCATTTTAAGAAGAGAAGAGGTCTATCCATGCACAAAGAGAAGAAGAAGAGTTGAGCTCATTATACATGGAAAACTTTCAAAAGCCAAGAATGGAAAGCTCTCAAAAGCCACTCAGCATTACAATGGGGCAGGAGAAGTCGTGCAAAACTATAGGTTCAGCGGTTGACAACTCCGGTATGTGGTTTTCATTGTAAAGTTTTTGCATCAATTACTATGTTCTTCATAAACTATATGTTCAATCTTCTATTTTCTCTTTCACATTGTTTTTTCCTATTCTCTTTCACACGTTTAAAGACTTTATGATGTTACTGAAGTTGCAACACATTTGTTGATGGTAAATGCCCTTGCTTGAAGAAGATGATTACTTGTTGAAATGAAAGGACCCCTGCCTTATGATCTATACCCTTTCTTGAGTATCAACTGATGTGGGATTCTGGCCCTTCTCTTTATATCACCACCGTTGAGATTTTGTCGAAATATACTTTGCAGAGAGTTTAATCATCAAATGATCTGGCTTAAAGTGTGTGAATTCAAAGTTGTAGATTTTAAGTGTTCATTTGATGATACTATATTATGTGCTGGTCTTTGTATCCATGATATTGAACATAGACAGACCACTAGATGACATGTTTGAGAACTTACCATTTTTAAAGTTTATTACTGCTCTTAGCCTTTAGTGGTCTGTTGCTTCAAATTCGTCCCATTTTTTAATGAAGTAGACGCAGATAGATACGGCCATCCACAAGCTGCATATTCCTATGAGTTCAAACTAGGTACAATAATTTAATTGAATCTTAATAATTACTCAAACTTGATTTGAACTCGTCAAATTTTTAATCCAATTTGAGCCTGTAGCACAAATCGAGCTTGAGCTATTCTTTTAAGGTCTCAACTTATTATAAGTGTAATCTTAATGATGAACCAGTTGATTTAAAAACAAGGAGTTGCATTTTTGGGCTTCTTATCTTGTCTAGAGTCAAATAGTGCACAAGCCAGATAGGCTATCCACTTGGTCAACAAGTTAGGGGGAAAAACTCACATGAAACCACCTATTTAAAAAAAAAAAAAAAAAAAACCAATAAACAAAACAGCAGAAGAAACCAAAAAAAAAAAAAAAACCCCTTGGCTTTGGATTGGTTGCCTAGGCCACCACGCTCATAAAGATGGGATCCCTCCCCTTATCTTCCCATCTCTCTAATACAACCCTTGTACCCAAAAAAAAAAAAAAAAAAGAATATCAAAAGATAAATAAAAAAAAATTGACTTGATAGCCATATTTTCACCTCACAAGTGATGGATTCTAATATGGAAAGTAGCCACTATATTCATCCCAAGAGAAATTGTATTGCAATTCCACTCTTTAAAGCTAGTCTTGTAATTGATTTCTCGTGATTTCTCATGTGATCTAAGAGACTAACTGAAGAAGGAAATAAACAGCCATGTTGATAGTTGATTTGAGATCCTTTTTTTTTTTTCTTTGGATACTACTTCAATGGTATATTGAACTTATTCTATGTATAAATGTTCTTCCCCTGGTTAATTTTTCTCTCCCATTTTTGGGCAACCTCATGGTTCAAGTAGTACAAGATGAAGGACATATCGTAGCCATGATGTGGATTTGGTATTCGTGGTAGGTAATTGTTAGTCAATTGTAGTTTAAACATGTTACCATTGACTTTTATGTCATTCTAACCTTTTTTTTTAAGCTATCAATTAGAAAATCAAAGCTGAAACCTTTTATGGAAATGTATGGATAAAAATCTTTTATGATTATCAGTCTATTTGGATGGATAATTTTATAAAAGCTTGGACTATAGATGTGCATATTATTAAAATGTTTGATTTGATGTTTTATTAAGAGCATTTGTAATGTGTTTTTGATGGTGTGTTTTTGAAAATAATGATAAAATTCCTCCTCTACCCCTCCAACACGCTCCACCCGCTGCCTCCCCCTCCTACTCCCGTCCCTTTACTTCTCCCCTCCTCCCCCGCACCTGCCACCCTCTTCCCCCTCCTCCTCCTTCTCGTCTCCACACCCTTTCCCTCCTCCCCTCCCTTTTTTTTGCCCCTTCTCCCCCCTCCCCTTCTGGACCAAGATTGCATGAGTATAAGATGAAAATAGGGTGAAGTATGAAGAAATTCTAGTGAAAATTCTTGAATTTTTGGCGCCAGGTTTTCCTATACACGAAAACTGACAAGGCTAACTTAAACAATTTTCAGATGTCGTGCAAGCGGTGGTCAGAAAGACACCTCCATCTGACTACACATTAAAGATCGACTCATTCTCTTTTCTTCTTGAAATGCTCGATAAAACAAATGCAGAGAGTTATAGTTCAAAGATTTTTGAAGCTTCTGGTTACTACTGGTAGAGTTGATTAACTAATCCTTTTTTTCAAGACTACTCTTCCCGTTTCATAAGCATATCATCATACAACATTATAATTCTTAATTTCTTAATTTATTTTCCCAATTTCATGAAGATCTAATCATATCTATGTATATGTATATGGACTTCCATTTTCATATATGCTGAAAATTATTCTATTCTATTCTAGGAAATTGCATCTTTACCCACGGGGTGACATAAAGAGAAATGGATTAGGATTCATCTCCTTTTACGCGAGTATCCATAACAGTAGTGCCCTTCCTCTTGGCTGGCAGATCAATGCAAACATCGAGTTTTTTGTGTATGATCAGATTCGAGGCGAGTACTTAGTTTTCCAAGGTATTTTTCTTAAAGTTTCTAAATTATGTTCTTCACTATTCTGTTATTATTATTATTCACTTTTTTTTTTGGGTAATGTACCATTTTTAAATAATGTGTTTTTCGTGTAGATGTTAGCGGAGAAGCAATACGATTAAATGAAATGAAGAAAGAATGGGGCACTGCCCAATTGCTGGATCTCAAAATTTTTCATGATCCCACAAACGGGTTCCTTCTTCATGACAAATGTGCATTTGGGGTGGAGATTTTGGCCGAAAGATATTCAGGCAGAGGAGAGTATTTGCCTCTGCCTGCGAAGATATTCAGTACGTACACTTGGAAAAGACAATAATTTTATGTCTTTTTATTACTATAATGGTTAAGAATCTGTTCATTTATCACATTTTTACTACTTCAACATCATCCTTTTCAATGCTGATGGTTTCAATAATTTCTTCTTCTTTTTTGTGTTTGCATTTGTTTTCCAATGAAATTCCAGGAAGGTGGTTCTTTTTCCGAATGGACACCAGATCCAAGAAGGGAAAAGCATTTCCCTCTCTCTAATGTCAGCTCATGAAGACACTAATTTTAGAACATATGCAGAATACAAATTGCGCATAAAGAGCCAGATGAATGGCAAAGATTTGGAACGTACAGGTAAACCTATTTATGGTTTTTTTTTTTATTGTATTAACATAAGAATTTTATCCGGTCTAGAATTTTTCTTTGATTTAGACTACTTTTTTTTTTTTCCTTTTTTGCAGCTAATCATTTGTTCTCACTGTTTGGATGATATTAAAGATTCTTCTAAAGGCTACCTAGTGAAAGATACTCTAATTGTTGAAGCTGAAGTCACTCGTATCTCAACTGTGAATGATTTCTCCTCAAAATGAAAGGGCTCATCAAATAGAGGCATGGATCCACATCTCTTGTTTTAATAAAATCGAAGTGAAATTTGAATTGTGAGCCCCTTAAATTATTAAATTATTAAGTATTGAAATCCTAACATTTGAAAGTATTTTGCATTAATTAAGTGATAAGTGATTGTTTTGAATAAATTTTGTCTAAATTGTTCAGAATCACCTAATTAATTAAAATCTTCTATTATTTGTTATCATACAAGTCAGAATATATTAAAGTTTGAATCTATTAAATTTAATTGTTGAATTGAATTATCAAACAGAAGAAGTGAATGTAGATACATTTTCTCCTTATGGAATTATGTACGTAGACTCCTGTCTTCACTCTTCCAAGATTCCGGTTTTGTTGCCTTATCCATTTCAATATTTCCCGAGATATTCTCCTTTGTTTCGGTTTTATTAATTATCAACTTAATTGCACCAAAAGAAAAAGCTATCTACGACTTCGGCATGACAAAGTAATGATTTATTAAAACAGGAGTGGAACAAGCAAAATTCAAACATATAACACTTAATTAAATTTTTTTTTTTGGTCAAAATAACACTTAATTAATCATTGTGGGCAATTCGTCTTTTCACCGATTCCATCCAACTGATCCAAGACACTCGGCCAAAGTCACAGAGAAGGGGGCTGTTTGTTATCTGGCCAAACTTCAGAGTTTATTTGGTAGTTTGGTTAAAATTCAGGGGAGATAAATATAATTAATCCATTCTTTTAAACACACCTAAAGGTTTTTTTTTTTTTTTTTGTTTTAAACATCCCACAAAAATACACCAAAAAAGTACACCCAATTCAAGAAATACTGGTTATTATAAATGAAAATGTAAGTCAACTAGGCAAGAGAATCCAGGCCTTGATTGGCGGTGACAAAGAGTTTCATCTACCAAGAAAAAAAAAATAACTCCATCAAAATCTTCAGCCGCAAGACAAAAAACTGACTGAAGTCATGCGGCACTAGAATGGGTGGCGAAAATCCGATTATCGGCCCAAACTCAATTATGCATGCAACCCTCGGGAGGCTCTGGTATCCTCTAGTTTAGGCTTTCTATAAAATCTTTTTTTGGTAATTTTTTTTTTTGGTTCTTTCGCTAATTGAAATTGAAGTAGTTATTTACCCAGAACGGTCATTTTTTAATTAAAAAAAGTATTTGTGTTCAAACAAACTCACCTTTGTCCAACCAAGAAGATATTATTTATTATTTCTTTTCAAATGATTAATCGAGGCCTATAAAAATGCGAAATATCGGCTACATGAAGAATTCATCATGACAGTGTTTGGCGTGTGATGGATATTTGAGATCAATTAGTTTGAGTTAAAACCCACAACTTATGGCAATTTTATTAAGATGATTCGATGATGAATGATTGTACAGATGCTGCTTATTTATTTATTAATAAAATAAGGGTCGATATCCCTTTTTCGTGTACAGGGTTTGCCAAAAAAAAAAAAAAAAGAACGGTTGTTAAAAATTCAAACATTATTGAAAGGTAGGTGGTGATATATGGTATAAAACTAAGGTATTTGGATTTGGTGTCAATGGGAGTTCTTAGTGAACATATTGTAATGATTTTGAGATCACAGTTCTTTTTAATATCACCAAAATTGGAAGTTTAGGGCTGGTTTTAGCCTTTAAGAGTCAATGATTGAGTTAAAAATAACTTGAGAGTTGTATCAGTTGACGACTGCATTAGAACTCTGCACGAGTGCACCACTTGATTTGAGTGCTTTTTCTTGTGGCTTGCATTTGGCAGCCAGAAATATCCCTTTGTGATGAAAACTGCACCAAAAAAAGACTCTTGTTATAGAATGATTTCAAATTTTAGAAAAAATTTAGAATTTTCTGTGTTTTACTTATTAGAGAGACGGACTATACCCTCACAAAAATCCTCAGAAATCATCACACCCCACCACAATGTACTATTACTGCATTGAAGTAGACAGACAATTTGATAATGACATTTTTTTAAGAACTTACCGAGTTTTAAAACTTATTACTGCTCTTAGCCTATGATAGTTTGTCCCTTCAAATTCTCCCCCACACTTTTATGTAGTAGACATAGACGGATAGGGCTATCTATAAATTGAATTAAAACTACTTTTAGAATTGTCAAAGTTGAATAAGTTCTATAAATGTATAATTATTTGTAAATGGGTATAAATAAGTGAATCAAATCAATCCACTACTCACAAATGCAATGGATTTAATTAGATACCTATTTAGATCCATTCAAAATTAATGGACAGGTTTGAGCGAGTTATTGAAGGGTAAATTTGGACAAATTGATATAATTTGATTCTAATTGACACATCTAACTTGCCTATTCAACTGAGAACCGACTAGATTTACCGTTCGAATCAATTGATTAACCCAACAAGGCAAAAACCAAAAAATCTAGTTACTTCATCTACTTTTTTTTTTATAGTTTTCTAATTTTTTTTAAAATTCATTAATTTCTTTAAACATGAGTTTGATACTAAAATCACTTAGAGGCTTTATCTATCTCTAAAGTTGACTCTTTTTTAATTTCTCTAAACTTGACCTATAAACAATCTCAACAATTATAAATGTACTTATTAATTATTTATAATTTAAATTACAATCTTAATTTCTATATTTTGTCAAATAAGTCTCGTGAATTTACTTACAAACTTATCAATTTGCATTTAAAATTTAAAAAAAAAAAACCATCACGAATAAAAGTAGTATATGTGTGTGCGTGTGAAGAAAGAATAAAGGGATGCGGAGGATATATTAAATGAAACTACCAATGATATCCTCCCAAGTGACAATAAAGCCCACCCACTGAGGATAAAATCGTCATATCAGATCAGGCGCACCACACCTCCATCGTCTATAAATACCCCTCTCGGGGTCCAAGACGAGTAACCCTCTCTTCTCTTCTCTTCTCTTTTCTCTTTTTTCTATATCCTAGTTCGTTGCTTACTTCTCTTGCATCACTTAGTATCGACCACGACAAGAAAAAACTCTGCAAGTCCCCACCACTTCAATGGCAGAGGAGTCAAAGGACCTGAGCCTAATGGTGCCTGCAGCTGTTGGCAGTTGTGGTATTCCCGTTAATCTTTCCTGTTGTATAGTTTTTTCAGTGATTTTGCTTTGCCAAGCTTTTTGTCGAAGCATAATTTATTTTATGCTCTATGCGGACTGAGTTTTACGTTGAAACTGAAAGATTCTTTTTTGTTTATGTGGTGGGGGGGGGGGGGGGCGAGAACATTCACCCAAGAAAACTTGTTGTCTACCTAATTAACAAAATAATTTTTATTTTTCACTGATTGAATTTATTTATCTTCACAAATTTTATGGAGGAACTAGCTTCAATTATTCAGTAACTATGTATATGGTCTTTGACGGGTTTTTAGATTAACCGTTTTGAGTGAAAACTTCTGGATCATAGCCATTAGTGTGATCAAGTACTACTCCAGTCCTGAAACTTCTATTCCTATTCTAGTGTATAAAATCAAATAAAAAAAAAGAGGAGGAATATGGTATATCTGAAACTAAGGAGAACGTCGAAATTTGATGATCTACTGTTGCAAATTAGTTTAAAACCATCAAGTTTTCAAGTTAGTATTGGTTTAATTTAGCTTCCAAGGTCATTGAATCAGTACAAAATAACTTTAGGGTTGTAGCATTGACTACCCACTGATTTTGGTGCTTTTCTTATCATGATTATGGATTATGCCCCTGTTAATATCTTATAGGTTCCAAGTTCATACCTCACCACAATACCACAGGGCCATGAAGCTAGCTAGTCTGTTTGCGACCTTTTCTTGACCAACAGCGATCCAAACCTTTCTGGAGTCGCCAAAACTCAGTTCAATTAATGGCAGGAACATTGGTCAGGAATAGTGAGGTCCATAGCTCAACTTTTCAATCTGCCCCTTCCCCTTTTCCTTTTCTCCTTTGAAAAGTCAGTAGTCACTTTTGCAAAATATAATATATATGAAAGCATCCATACCTTGCCTGGTCACTTGTTTTGCAAGTTAAATGCTATGTGAAACTGTGTCCTTTCCAGAAGAACTGTAAAAATTGATTTACAATCTTTTCTAGCTAATTGATTTTGCCATACATTGGTTCTTCCTTTTCTAGTCCTTCCAGAGCAAGAATATTCTTTGTTTGACGGTAAACAATCAATAATCTACTGTAGTTCAAACAAGTTATGCATAATTGCAATACGGTTTGGAAACCTTTTTCTTTTTTTGCCTTTTTTTTAGCTTTCCCTCTATATTGTAGAAGTAATAAAAGGTCAGGTTCCAATACTTTTCACCTTTACCACGTCCCAAGCTTCATATGCAACTACTAGTTGACCATGAATAAACTCTCATATTTCCATTAAGAAGATTTATTATCAAAACTCATACCATAGGGCGAGCATTTATCTTGGAAGTTTTCCAGCACCTAAAAGACATCAGACTCAGAAGGACTGCATAAATAGGAGAACAACATATAGTGATACAAGGACTGACATCTGGTGCACCATTTCCAATTATTTATAGCATTTTTCCTTTACTTTGTTGTTGATTCAAATCAATAAGAAGAAGTAACCTTTCATCTAACTTTGCAGATTTAATGAATGCAGTGGTCAGAAAGGCGCCTCCAGCTCACTATATATTAAAGATTGACTCATACTCGTTCCTTCTTGCAATTTTGAAGATTAAAGGAGCAAGTTTTTACAGTACAGATATTTTTGAAGCTAGTGGTTACAAATGGTTTAGTGGATTCATCTTTTCTCTCAAAGATTATGCCTTTACAAATTATCCTATTAAATGCATCACAAGATTAGTTGGACTTGAAATGGAACCAGCCACAGAATTTCAGAAGGATAATCAGTTCAAAGAATATTTCTTATTCTTTTCAAAGTTTTTTAACATTAGTCATCTCTAAAGAGTGATTAGGATTAAACATTCTTACATTGTCAGTGCAAAATGTTTTTAAACAACTGGCTTTAGATG